GGATTCTATATTGAAAAAAAAAAACATCCATCAGCCAAAACAAGGCCAGGAGCTGACTTTGGAACAGACCATCAATTGCTCACATGTAAATTCAGGATGTAGCCAAACAAACTTTTTTAAAGTCCATGACAGACAACCTTGAATAAATCCAACCAGCATTTAGAGACCATTTCAAGAACAGCTTTGATTGGAAGTGATCCATATATATATGTCCATTCCAAAGAAAGGTGACCCAGCAAAATGAAGAAATTACCAAACAATATCATTAATAAAAACACACAAGTAAAAATAACAAAGCAGCTGTAGCAGTACATTGATAGGGAGCTGCCAGAAATTCAAACAGGATTCATAAAAGGACCTGGAACAAGGGATATCATTGCCCATTGTGCTCATGCAGAAATTGTATGTAGATGGAAAGGCAGTTGTTCAAACAGAACAAGGGGATCCTGCCGGGTTTAAAATTAGGAAAAGTATGTGCCAGGGTTATAGTCTTTCACCATATTTACTCATCTAGTATGCTGAACAAATAATTCAAGAAGCTCGACTATACGAAGAAAACAGTATAAGGATTGGAAGAAGGTTGCAATATGCAGGAGATACAACTCTACTTGCTGAAAGTGATGAAGACTTGAATTACTTGATAATGAAGACAATAAAAGAATACAGTCTTCAGTATGTATTATAATTCAATGTAAAGAAAAAAAAACCTTTACAATTGGACCAATAAATAAGCAGAGAAAAGATTGGACTTATTAAGGATTTCACTTTACTTGGATCCACAGTAAGTGCTCATGGACATGTGGTCAAGAAGTCAAGTGGCATATTACATTGGGGAAAACTACTACACAGACCTTTTTAAAGCATTAAAGAGCAAAGATGTCACTTTAAAGGTGAAGGTGAGCCTAAGTCAAACCATGGTATTTGCAATTGCCACATAAGCATGTGGAAGTTTGACAAAATGGCTTCAACAATGGGCTCAAACATAACAATAATGTGGAGTATGGTACAGGACCAGGCAATGTTTCGTTCTGTTGTGCATAGAATCGCTGTGAGTCAAAACAGACTCACTGGCATCTAACAATAACAACAACAACAAAATATTCTCAGTTGTTTAAGAAAGAAAAGAAAAATCAAACTAAGATTAAAACTAAACCTTCAACTGTTTTGCTCTATCACGGGAACCACTAAGAATTTCAAAATATTTGCATTTGTTCTTATTAATGCAAGTACAGAATAAAGAAATAAGCATATGAATAGTAATATACATTGCATTAAACTGATCTAATTAGGAATGAGGTGATTCAACTTTCTCTGACTTCCCATTGTATACGTATCTCATATAAGTGAATATAAACTATAATCCTTACTTATTACCATTTTACTGAGCTTAATGTAGAATAAATGCGTTAACTTTCACAGACTTCCTAATGGAAGATGAAGCATATGCTTTTAAAACCTAAATAAAAGGAGGTGTTTTTTTGTACAATTTCCCAGGTATTAAAGCATTTTGCAGACCACTTAGACTTCTCAGGCTAAGTTAAAATAAGTTCTGTTTGTAATGGAGTAGGATTCTAGAGGCTGCAATCATTTGTTCTGCATTATAACTATTTAATACTACAGCAGCAGCTCCAAAGGAGAACTGGGTTCACAGGTAAAGGACATGGTATGCAGCTAAAAGGAACTAGGTAGTCTGTGCTCACCAGGAGGCACGGCAACAGCAACTTTGTGGCACCATCTTCCAGTGGCTGGTAGGATCTCAAAGGAAGCCCTCTAAAGTGATTTAGACTGGTAGCCACACATGCCACCACTCATCTGTCACTTTATCATACTGTGGTGATTTGAATATTGTTGTGATGTTAGAAACTACACCACTGGTATTTCAAATTGCAGTGGAGCTTCCAGACTAAGAAAGATTGAGAAGAAGAACCTGGCAATCTACTTCTGGAATTAAAAAAAAAAAAGCCAATGAAAAACCTTAGGGATAGCAGCAAAGCATTGTCTGATATAGTGCTAGAAGATGAGCCACTCAGGATGTAAAGCACTCAAAATACATCTAGGGAAAAGCTGCTTTCACAAAAGTGGAGTCAACCTTAATGATACAGATGGAGGAAAGCTTTTGGACCCTCATTTACTGTTGGATCACTACTTAAAATGAAAGTAAGCAATTGTAAACATCCATTAGTAATAGAACAAACAAATCTGTCTTGGAAGAAACACAGTCAGACTGTTCCCTAGAAGCAAGATAGAAACACTTTGTGTGGATTACTTTGGACATGTTATTATCAGGAAGAACCAGACTTAAAGAAGGACATCATATTTGGTAAAGTAGAGGATCCGAGAAAAAGAGGAAGACCCTCCACAATGTGGATTAACACAGTGGCCACAACATGGGTTCGAACACAGCACTGATTGTGAGGATGGTGCATGAGTGGGCAGTCTTTCAGTCTGTTGTGCCTGAGGTTACTGTGAGTCAAAACTGACTCAACAGCACCTAACAACAAGTGGCACATGGGAATACTCCTGAAAACCAATTCCAGAGGAAAAGTCAAGAGTTGTGTACAGAGGGTAAAAATAGTCTCCGCTACAGATGGCATCCGAAAATTTTAAAATAGCCACAATATTTCAGTTTCCTTATTTTTTATTAGGCAAAGAAAGTCTAAATTAGTAAGGACATTGAACGCATGCCTTTTAATCAGAATGTTATTACTTTTGGATTACTTTTTTTGTTTCAATCCAATTATTTTCTCCAAGTCTATCACCTTTTATATAGGTGAATTATGGCATATGAAACACATATGCCCAGATAATCAGGAAGATAGGGGTCTAAGTAACCCACAAAGCAGGCCAAAAGAGACCTTAACATGAGGAAACTGAGGTCTTAAGCAGTTAAATGAATTGAATATACTTAAAAACAGTAGTTTATATTGGGGAGTACTAGTGTGGCACTTTGGGTTAATGCACTGGACTGCAAAGTCACTTGAACCGCAGGGTCAGTGGTTCAAGCTCACCAGTCACACTTTGGAAACCTTATAGAGATAGGGTCGCTTGGATCAGAACCGACTAGATGACAACAGTTTATATTGGAATCCTGATAAATGCGCTGGACCAGAAGGTCAGTTGGAGCCACAAGTACCAACTATACAGGGTCACTATGAGTCAGAATCGACTCAATGGCACTTAACAACAACAAATATAAATATTATAATATTATATTAGTATATGTACATTATCCTGGATATAGAACATGCATAATGCCATACCTTACATGGTAATCATATGGTATCAAATGCATATAGATGCACATAAGCAAACATTTACACCTTTCCTCATTTATAGACATGATTAGTTTCCAAAGATCAGTTCAATACGTGAAAATTGGCATTATGCAAAAATGAAAAGCAATCACATTAGATCACAAAAAGGATGACTACATCATTACATCACTCCAAATTGCATCATTACATAGCTGAGAATCATGGCCCAAGCCAAGATGACAGAAAAATTTAACCATAACAGCCAGCATTACACTCACCTTCCACCTCAACATTTGTTACTGCCAGACATTCATCATTAACGCACATATAAGTCGAATAGTACACTTTTTACTATTGCCTTAGATGAGAAGTGTCAGATGATGAGCTAGCCAATACATGAGGAATAAGTGTGATTAGAAAGTAAAGATATTTTAATAGATTATCAAGTAAATCAAATCTCTTAATTTAAGAACAGATCCATTCACTTCATCAAAATTCTAAATTTGAATTCATTTCTATTTAGACATGAATTCTAAAACCATTTATAGGTTCTTGGCATTGGAAAGAATCTCAAATCTCCCCTAACTACAGTCTTTTACTTGGTTTTGAGAGTTTGAAAAGTTGCAACAAAAGTTGCAACAATATCTATGGCTTCTCCTTAACGCTTTACTCTTTGAGCCAGTATGAGGTGCTGCAGTTTGCATTAAAAAAAAGAAGACATTACATGAGAATTTGAGTGAAGCATCAAAGGTTCTTCAACTAAAATCCATTCTATAATGAACCCATTTCTTGAGAGATAATCCCTGATTTAGGTTTTGTGGAACAAGATTGAGACCAAAAACAGTCTCCATTTGCTTCTCAACCCATCAGACCCTAAGCACTCATTGGCAAAAGTACTTAATTCATATTATATTCAACCACTACGAGCACCACCTACCCTATCCTTACCCCAGACACACCAAGTCTGCTAGTATGCCTGGCACTAACATGGATGAATGGATAGATGGAAGAATAAATACATACATTATTCACTGTAATTCACAGAGTTCATTCAAATACAGTTTTATCTCTTTTTTAAGGAAATGATCATTGTTATGATTTTCTTGTTAAAACTTACTTCATATCTGCCAAGTTTCCAATCACAGTAAAACCCCAAAAATATTGTAAATTAGGTAGCATAACTCAGGATCTGGGATTCAAAGAAAAATGTCTGCTTTGTGATTTCATTGTGGAAATTGTAAGTAAACATTGTCCTATTCTAAATGTTATCTTCTATGCTAGTTAGTTAGCATATGCTATCAGAATGAAAAAGGATTAGGATTAGCATTAGGGGAGAGTTGGTGTATTTCCCAGAAATGCTTCCAACGTTTGGAAAAAAAAAAAAAGAGTTGAATTTTAGATTTGAAACTGATATAATTAGTCCTAGGATTTATCATTGTTAAAGTGAGGTGTAAGCTGTTTTACGGCCAAATAAAAAGTTAAAGAGTATTAAACATGCCATTTGTTTATGTTGATAAAAAATACACCTAGGGACTGTGGGCATACATAGAAGAAGTTCTTTCAACAATTATTAGCCAGTTTCACTCTCACTTGGTGGGGGAGGTTTGTTTCAATTAGGTTATTCCTAGTACTACTTCCTCATACTTTTCAGCCAGCTCTTTGGAATTTAAAGGAGTTGTGGATAGAAGGGAGGAAAACTCATTACCCGGTGAGTGGGAAAATACAGTTTGTGTTTGTTCTACTCACGGTTCTGCCTGTAGACTCCTGTCCTCTGCAACATAGTTAGAAGGAATATAGCCCTGGAGCTGCTGGCCAGAGCCGTCTCCCCTTTTCTCCAAGTGTCTGGCAAACCACCAGCCCTCGTGGGAACTATCCAGGATTTGGAGCTTGTCCCCCGCACGGAAGCTCAGGTCCTCAGCGGTCCGAGCATGGTAATCAAACAAAGCCACGAAGTAGTGGCCGTGTCTTCTCTCAGGCTCCTGACTCTGTGACTGGGGAGCATCAGGGGAGCAGCGGGCTCCTGGATTCTCTATCACCACCGGTTTGTCCGCCTCTTGGAGCAAACAGGGCAGACAGGGCTGCATGTAAGCCCAGAGCCTCAAACAGACGTTGCCCATGGTGCTCTACCTGGTGTGGAGGAGAGGAGAGGGGCTTCTCCCTTTCTTCTGTGTCTCTGCAAGTCCACTTTCTCACCCTCCACCCAGAGACTTAGAAATCAGCAACAACTCACCATGTTTTGGAAAGTGCAAAACCCCTGTTTCAAAACAGTCCAGCAGGTCTGACTGCTGCCCCAGAGCCAAGCCCAGGGGGAGTTGGGCAGCTGTTCAGTGGGAAGATGTCTTTTCTTCTTGTCTGCTTAAGAATGTCACAACAAAAATAAAATTAGGAGTGCTATACCTTGACAAGCCTCTGAAAACAGGAAATAGTCATCTTGCCTTTTGTCCCAAGGAAAAGTTAACAAGAGAAAGACTTTAAAATCTCCAGGTAAAATCTCCACGCCTTGCCTTTTCCAGGGGCAGTCTCCAGGCTTCAAGTCTGTTCCTGTAGTTTGACCTGTCCTGACCCCCACTGCTCTTTCCTTTTTGCTAATGAATAACCAACCAGCCCAGGCTATTGCCTTTAACATCCTGAGCTATGTACAAACTGTAATAATTTTTCCTTACTTCCTGGTTTGTTTCTGTCTGTGATCTAAATGGGATTCCAACCTCTTTACCACTCCCTTCTCCCACACACAAGATAGAACAGCGCCCTCACCAGGGAGCTAAACTACCGGCAATCACACAAATCCTATCACCTTTGAGCAACAGGCTGGTCCAGGCAGTTTTTCGTGGTACTGTGTTCCCAAGTCAAAAATTGAAGGCAGTGATTTTTGTTTGTCTTTCTAAAGATAAGTAGGATTGTTTTGCCACTGCTAGGAGAAACAAGGCAAATTAAAGTGAGTAGGCTTTTGTCACTGGACAAAGGACACTTGGGGAGGAATTATCAAGTCCCTGTCTATTTTTCATTACTATAAATGATTTTAATATACTTAAAGTATAATCAGCTGCTTGTCAGAAACCTTATACAGAGTGGCTGTGAGTCGGAACCCACTCAAGGGCACTTAACAACAGCAACATCAACGTACAACACAGTCTGGAAAAGTAAGAGAGCAGTTAACTGAAACTCTGAGAATCCTAGCCACAGCTTTTTCCCACAGAGACATTTAATTTCCCATCTCTCAAGTACTGTTTCTGAAACTCTCTTTTACAAACACACACATGATGACCGGTGGAAAGAAAGAGTAGAAGACCGGCTGTGTGTGTACTGTTGTAGAGGCACTTTCTGTTAAACTTTGACCTCCAGGTCTGTACTAGTCCTTACTAACTTCTTTGGCCAGGGCTCAGCAACTAATGAGAAAGATCAGGATAGCTGCTCCTATGTGGTAGTGTAGTGGTTACAAGTCAGGCTGCTAGCCTCAAGTTCAGCAGTTCAAAATTACCAGCTGTTCTGTGGGAGAAAGATGAGGCTTTCTGCTCCCGATAAAGATTTACAGCCTTGGAAACCCTGTACAGGGTCGCTGTGAGTTGGAACCAACTCCACAGCACATAACTACCACCACCATCTGTTCCCATAAAGATTTACAGCCTCGGCAACCCTATAAAGGGTCACCATGAGTTGGAACCGACTCCACCACACATAACCTGGGCAATGAGTTTCCTTTTGACAGATTTCTACCACTAGTAGAGTCGTTGTTTTTAAGTGTTAATCAAGTTGGTTCTGACCCATAACAACCCTGTATAGGGTTTCCAAGGAGCAGCTGGTGAGCTTGAATTGCTGACATTGTAGAGGGCACTGCAAAATTGCTATGACTTATTTTCTCTAAGACATTTTTTTTTTCCAATTATCTCTTAAAACTGTCTTTCAAAATGTCTGTAAACTCTTGAACCCTAGAACAAAGTCAAGATTCCTGGTTTTTTGATCAAGTTAAAAGGCATTTTATATGTCAAAATAGTCTAACTCAAAAGAAATGGGGGGGGGGGAGGAGAATGAAAAAAGAAGAAAATGGAACTATGTATGGCCTTAACCACAATTGCTAATTTTTATCTATTGCTGCTATTGAGTCAATTTCAAGTAGTGCCATACCTAGGTAGAACTGCTGGGGTGGGGGTAGGGGTGGGGTTCTTGGCTGTATCCTATGGAAGCAGGCCACCAGACTTTCTGGTACCACTGGAAGGGTTTGAATTGCCAAGCTTTAGGTTAACTGTCAGGTGCAAACCAGGGACCTTCTACCTTAGACTAACTTGCGCTAAATTCAGGCACTCACAGTAGACAGACCATTTGGCTAGAACATCTTATATCACACTCCTAAGTTTTCTCCACTTATCTTCAAAGTAGAAGTAAAGACTTAGTAGCAATAGAAAATCCAAAAGCTGAGTCAGGTGGGTTTTTCTTTTTTTTTTCATTTATGCTATGGGGCCTGGTATTGCACTGTAGGATTAGCACTGCACTATTAACCTCAATACGAATTCGGGCTGTGAACCGCAAAGTCAGCAGTTCGAAACTACCAGCTGTTCCGCGGGAGAACAATGAGGCTTTCTGTAAAGATGTACAGCCTCGGAAACCCTGTACAGGGTCGCTATGAGTCGGAACCGACTCCACGGCACATAACCACCACCACTAACCTCAAGGTCAGTGGTTTAAACCTACCTACCTCTCTTTGGAAACTCTATACAGAGTTGCTATGAGTCTGAACCAACTTGACACTACTTAATAGCAATAATAACATGAGGCCTAAATATGGTACAGATTTAATTCCACATTATAGAATACGATAAAATAATAATTATGTCATAAAATATAATATTGATTGTCAAAGTATAAGACCCTGTGGGATAAAGCATGGACTGCAAGCTTGGTGGTTCAAATACACCAGCCAGTCCTCAGAAACCCTATAGAGGATCACTATGAGTCAGAACTTACTCCACAGCACTTAACAACAACACACAAAGTGAGAGGTGCTGAAGTCATGTTTGAGGAGATATCTGCATGATCTAGACATGAAATGTGATTTGGGAGCAACCAGAGGGAAGTAATCAAAACCAATTTTCAAGTGGTATTTGAGACTTCAAATATGTGAAAGTTCTAAATTGAAATATGCCTCCCGATGGTTATGAAAAAGCATTCTGGAAAGAGACAAAGAAGCAGACCTGCACAGCACAGTCAATGAGTAAGTGAAGGAAATTGAAAAGCAGCCGACCATCCAAAAATGTCAAGCAAGCTATGGTCTGAAAAAAACAGAGCCACGAGGTTAGGAAAAAGTTTCTTTCTGTCAATAGTACCAAAACCCTCCAATCGCCCATGCTTGAAGCTTTACAGTCATTTTATACTCCCTCTCTAGCTCCTTTAAGCTAATCAATCACTAGATTCTGTCCAGTCTTCCTTTTCATTTATTCTACAAACTTTTTTGACTCCT